CCGGAGACACCGGGGTTCTGGGTGATGTCGACGAGCTGCGTGCCGTCGGCGATCGGTCCGGAGGGGTTCGCGGGGCAGGAGCCTGCCGGCGAGACGGGGGAGGTCATGCCGAAAGGGATGGTGCCGGCGCTTCCGACAGTGAGGCCCCCGACGAACGTCGTCTCGTCCGCGCTCTGGAACTGGCACTGGAAGAGACCATTAAGCTCGGCATTCTTGGGGGCTTGTTGGCAGTAGGGCACGGCTTGGGAGGAGGGCTGCGGAGCGTATCAGTACCGGCGGAACATGGAAGGGAGACGAAACGGGAAGGTGTGAGAAGTGCGGGAGGACTCACGGAGTTGCGTGGCTGCTGCGCGAAGATCTGTGCGAACTTGATCATGTCGGGGTCATTGTTGAGCTGCTTGGCCAAATCAATCATGGCGTCGGCCGAGTTCTGCTGGTCGCAAGGACCAGCAGCCGCAAGCAGCGTCGAGAACGCGGTCACAGCAGTCGGGTTGCACTGCTCGCCTCCGCCGGCGGCATCCTGCAAGGAGCCGAATAAGTGCTACATGAAGATGAAAGAAGATAGAAGTGAGGACGTACGCAGGCAGCCTCCCACTGGGTTGTAGAGTCAGCGATGACTTGTGCGATCCTCTTGTTGAGCGGAAGACCCTGGGCGTGCATGGAGAGCGCGGCGACAGCGAGCACAACTGTCGAAACAAAGTGAACCATTGTGTCGTTACTTGAGGTTGGGAGGTGGGACGCTGGGCGAGAGAAGAGTCGTCAAGACAGAAAAGACAGAGGGGCAGTCGGAACGAGAGGAAGGCGAGCGCAGCTCGAGTAGATGCAGTTGCAAGGCGAGATGGAGGACCCAAACAAACCGCCAGGGCATCTTATATATCCTCAGAATAGGCTTGTGGCCCGACGCATATGACCCGCTGTTGCTTGACTGCTTCCGGTCGCTTTGCCTACGCGGCTAAAGAATGAACCTTGTGGTGGTTCGTATCCAACCGCATTGTCGTTGCCGCGGTGCTGATCCTGTGCGGCAGCCGCCCTGCCAGTTACAGCTGCCTTTTGGAGACCGCGTGTGTCAAGCAAGAATAAGTGGGAACGCAGTGCCCATATCCTCGCGGCATAATTGGGAAAGAGAGAACAATAGAACCCGAGGGTTGGGAGAAACAAAGAAAGTTGCTCCCGATCGGGATGTGGTTGGTGTATTGGGCGCCAATCATGGAGATTAGATTACCTCGAGCATCTTATCTTATCTGTGCCTCGGAAGCTTACGATGGGACGCTGTCGGCACCCGTCGTGGGCCGAGTGCATCCGCTCATCTCGTTCTCGTCCTCAATTTGTTCTGGCTATTGAAGTTGTCGCGGACCGCAACGCGGCTAGAGCTGCCAAGTAACTGAAGCACCCAAGTGTTTGCAGTGCAGGGCAGTGAGGAAGCAGAGGCGTGTAACATAGCTGTGTGGAAACGGTTTATCGTCAGTGGATGCGGTTGGGTCTTACCTGTCGGAGGTCTGTCTCAAATATTTGCCGCGCACTAGAGCTGTCGATGCGCTCTCTGATGCTGCAGTAGCTCATGTCGACTGCCACCTCTACTCTCCTCGATCACGCGAGTGATCCGCCATCCCCTGCTCCTGGTCAGGAACACAGTCCCAACGATCTCCAGGGCATCACGGAGTCGTTGCAAGCCGCTGTACTCTCAGACGAAGCACACGCCAGCCCGGTGCTAAAGCGACATCGCGACCTATGGTTCTCTGACGGCTCCGTGGTCTTGCGTGCAGAAGATACCCTATTCCGTGTGCACATGTCTCAGCTTTCGCGTAAATCTCTCTTCTTCAGGCACATGTTCGATATGCCACCGCCTAGTCAAAGCTTGGGCAGCAATGCTGATGCTGCCGATTCGATGCTCGAGGGCTGTCCACTGCTCACCATGGAGGATGCGGCAGAGGACTGGATCAACCTCCTCCATGCCCTGTATGACGGTCCGTATGTGAGATTTTCCCCTTGTGATCTGTACTCTATGATGGACAGAAGACACGCAGGTGGTTTGGAAACAATGATCGTGACGACTTTCGTGTCGTCTCTGGCATCCTGCGCCTATCGACAAAGTACATCATCGACTCGCTGCGGAAACGCGCGTTGGACCATCTGCTGGTCGCTTGGCCCTCAACTCTGAAGGACTGGGATGCGCGTGAAGACATTGCGCGCATATATGAGCTAGAGACGGCCAACCATAGAGGCTTCCGATACCCTTCCCCAATTGTCAGAACGTCTCGCATCTTGCATTTGACGTCTGGCTGATATTAATCGTCGCAGGCCATCATTGACCTCGCCAGAGAGAACGACACGCCAGAGCTGCTCCCCGCCGCGTTCTACGACCTCTCGCGATATCACTTCCACGAGATCTACGAGTCAGGCGAGGGCGAGCCGCTGAGCCAGCCACCGCTGGCACACACACTGGGCGCTTCAGACATCCAGCGGCTCACGCTGGGTAAGGAGGCCGCACTGCACACCATCACCACACTCATCCAGAGCATGGGCAATGGCCCACATCGCGACGCCGTGCACCCCACCCACCTGAGCCACCCCCGTCATAACCGCAGGTCGTCCGGGTCGGTCTGTGTGAGCGCGGCCGCGTGCAGGAAGGACTTCGAGGAGCTCGTGGAGCTGGCGACGCAGCATTATCTGTTTGATCGCGGGCGGGGCTGCTGCGACCCGCTGTATGCCGCGGAGGAGCTGGGCCAGCTGAAGAGCGCCGAGTTCTCGGAGTGCAAGGCGTGCGCGAGGGCGCTGGAGTCGTGGGCCGCGAGGGAGAGGCAGAGGATTTGGAAGATGATCCCGTCGTGGTTCAGGTTGAAGCCGTAGGAGGCGGGAATACTGCGGTCCTCGTGTTGCCACGAACTTTCCGGTGAGCGGAGGCCTCCCGTTTTCTTGATCAGTAGAGTCGATGCTGGCTCAGCAGCTGCCGCGCCTAGCTTTCATCTTGGTGCATCTTGACGACATTGTATGATGACTTATTCCACATGTTGTTGCATATTCAATGTTCGATGTGTGAACTTGTGATTCACGTGCAGGAAGCAGTTCTCTGGGTGAGTCTGACCCTAACCCCATATCCAGCGCTTGATGCTGCACAGCGAACGACGACCGCGTTTACACCAACTATTTCTACAGTCCAAAAGAGCTGTAGATGGCGACCTTGCGTCTAGTAGCAAGGCCCGGGCTGCTGCGATCTCCTCTCGCAGCCGTACCGACTCGCCGCTCTGCGTCCTCGGCAGCCTCGTCGTCAGTATCCTCCCGGTCTGGTCCCAAGACAGGTCTCTATGCCACCGTCCTAGCGATCTCGACGGGCCTGTTTGCTGTATACTACTTTGACTGCCGCTCTGCGATCCACCGCTATGTCTTCACGCCGCTGCTGAGGTATACCATGGACCCTGAGTCGAGCCATAAATTTGCTGTCAAGGTTCTGAGGAGCCGGCTAGCACCGAGGGATACGCAGGAGGACGATGAAAGGCTCAGGATGGAGGTATGCCATGGTATATTTCAGTAATACTAGGATTGCATTTTACATTCGTTATAGATTTGGGGAGAAGAGTTGAGCAATCCGGTAGGCGTTGCAGCGGGCTTTGACAAGAATGGCGAAGCGGTGGATGGTGAGTAGTTACAGATATCAAAGATATAGCTGGATGTGAGAATTAGGATGAGCACAGGACTATTCAACCTCGGTTTTAGCTGGGTCGAGATTGGGAGTGTCACGCCAAAACCTCAAGTAAGTGAGTCGAACGACAATACGCCTCGTAGTGTGTAAAACGCAAGTCCTCGAATACTAACACGATGCGTTACTTCAGCCAGGCAACCCGCAACCTCGAGTCTTCCACCTCATCAACGACTCGGCGATGATCAACCGCTACGGCTTTCCCTCCGATGGACACAAGCTTGTCCTCTCGCGGCTTGAGGCACGGCTTCCCAGGTTCCGGAGCGAGGACGGTACAACGCCCGCATCGCTCAGACCCGGCGCGCTCCTTGCGGTCAACCTGGGAAAGAACAAGTCGTCCCCGCCGGACTCGATTGCTGATTTTATTGAGGGAGTTAGGGTATTTTCCCCTTATGCGGACGTGCTGGTCATTAACGTGTCAAGCCCCAACACACCGGGACTGAGGTGAGCGCCGCAGTTGTCGCGGCCGTGGTCCAAAAGGCTAACTGGAATACACTCTTGCAGAGGAATGCAGACCCGAACACTGCTCGAGGAGCTGCTAGCCGGTGCAAAGAAAGCGCGGGACGAAGTTGTCAATACCGAAGGCGAATCCCGCAAGCCGAAACTGGTGCTCAAGATCGCCCCGGACCTCGAGGAGAGCGAGGTCGCGGATATCGCGGAGGTTGTGAGGACTAGCGGCGTGGACGGCGTTATCGTTAGCAACACCACTATCCGCAGGCCGCCCTCTCTTCACGATCGTGAGTATCACTCTGGCTACAGTTCAATTGCTCGCTGAGTGCCCACTCTAGCAAACCGTTTTGAAGCCGGCGGCCTATCGGGTCCCCCGCTCAAACCGTACGCGCTCGCAACCCTCCGCACGCTTCGCGCACAGCTTCCGCCATCGATACCCATCATCGGCTGCGGCGGCATCTCGACCGGCGAGGACGCGCTCGAGTTTGCGCGCGCGGGTGCTAGTGCGGTGCAGGTGTACACGGGCTTTGGGTACGATGGGGTCGGTGCGTGCAGGCGGATCAAGGACGAGCTGACGGAGGCTCTGCGGAAGGAGGGCACGACGTGGAGGGAGGTGAGTGCCAGGGCGGCGAGGGAGCTGGGGTGGAAGGGGCCAGGAGAAAAGGAGGAGGTGACGGTGGGGCAGCTGGTGAAGGAGGCGGAGGAGCTCAAGCAACTGGTAGATGGACTCGGCGAGAGGATCCTAGCCTAGGCGCACGCGACGCGATCTCAGACATGCGCGAGTATACATCGTACTCACTGCGCCGTTCAGAATGGCCAATGCCTCTATATATGTCCGCAGGCCCCGACTGCGCAAGGCGAGATGGCCGAGCGGTCCAAGGCGCCAGACTAAGGCACCTTGCTATCTGGTCCGAAAGGGCGTGGGTTCGAATCCCACTCTCGTCACATTTTTTCTCTCGTTCACGTGCAGGCAACCTGGAGTCTGGTCTTTTTACCACCAAGAGCAGGCTCCTGTCGATGTGAGAAAGAGCATAGCCAGTGTTCATGAATAGTGCGTTTGTATCCCACGGAAACTGCAAGCACCGTATGCTATTCTCAGCGGCCTCAGCAGGACGGGGACACGGTAGCGCATAAAGCTCCCGAATGCACCGTTCGCGGGTGGCGACCCTGAATGCCCAGTTTAACCTCCATGTCGCTAAAGTCCGAACCAGCACGAGAAGAAGAAGGCTGTTCGATGACGTCCCAGAGATGAACGAATACTGCCCTACATGACCTCGCGGCTCTGTGGACAGGCAGCGGGCTGTTATATGACTCTTTGATTACCACATGGATCGCGCAGGAACCATGAGTTTGCACCCTCTGCCCATGATCATTGCGAGAGTTAATTATTCGTAGTTGTGCTATCGCGATCTGGCGAACGCGTACGCCGGGCACGCATGTCGCCGAGAATGCAGGCCTTTGGTTGTGTTCAGTCTCGTTTGGATGGGCGACAGCATTGTGCGAGCTCGGTACCACGAATAGTCTCCACTGTAAAGTACAAGCTCCAGGAAATACAAGAAGGTACAAGGAGATACATTGTGAGGTAAGCGCCGGATGATCGGAGCACGTGGCGCGCATCTGCACTGGGAATCCAACTCGGCCAAAAATTTGAGCGCGTCTGTTTATTAGACCGTCCATCTCCCTCCGACTCCCCTCTCCTCTCCGTCTTTCTCTGGCCAGTAGACATGGATGTAAGCATCCCATCTTATCCTCACACCCCGACCTCGCGTCTGATCAACTGTGGCCCAGCCCAATTTTGTGCAAGGCCTCCACAACCTGCTCGCCCAGTCGACCTCTAACGATACCGTCCAACTCAAGGCTGTAAGCCCCTCCCGCTGCGATTCTGGGCTACTGTATCGGTTAACACAGTTTTCTTAGGCCACCGCTCAGCTGAACCGTGAATACTATAAAAATCCGCTATGCATTCCCGCGTTGACGAGTATCATTGCGAGCTCCCCCGATCAGGCGGTGAGTGCTTTCATCCTCACCTGCTCGACTGCTTGGCTCAACGTCTCCATGATTCACCCTAGATTCGCCAACTCGCTGCAGTTGAGCTGCGCAAACGGATATCAGTGGGCAGTGGCGAGCTCTGGATCGTCATCTCGCCCGACCAGCGTCAAGAGATCAGGTCGAAACTTCCCGAGCTCGTTCTCAATGACCCCAGGTGCGTCTTTCGCTTTCCATTTTCAACCTAGGATCACACTCAACTGTACTATGTGTACGCCGCAGCAATCTCGTCCGGCATTCCACTGCGCGCGTCATCGCTGCGATTGCCTCGATCGAGATCCCCCTCAACCAGTGGCCCGAGCTCCTCCCCTTCCTCCTCCAGACATGCCAGTCCCCCAATGCCGCGCACCGCGAGGTCGGCGTGTATATTCTCTACACTGTCCTCGAGAACATCGTCGAGGGCTTCGAGAACCACCTTCAGGAGTTCTTCCGTCTCTTCGAGGCACTGCTCAATGATCCTGAGAGCGCGGAGGTCAGGATCACCACTGTCAGGTACGCTGTCACACCCACTCTGCGCTGCCTCTGGCCTTACAGAACCCCGCAGGGCGCTGGGCGTCATTGCGCAGTACATCGATACCGACGACAAGCAGGATATCGTGCGTACTTTTGCTGTTCGGCGTCCGGCGTCCGCTGATCTCCTATCGTATTACAGAAATCCTTCCAACAGCTGCTTCCGGCTATGATCAACGTCATCGGCCAGAGTGTCGAGGCTGGCAATGAGACCGGCGCTCGCCAACTCTTTGATGTTCTCGAGACGCTTCTCATCCTCGAAATCCCGCTCTTGGGTCAGCACGTCCCTCAGCTTGTCTCGTTCCTCCTGCAATGCGGGGCGAACAGGCAGTACGACAACGATCTGCGTATCCTCGCTCTCAACGCTCTCAACTGGACTGTGCAGTAGTAAGTGGATTATGCTAATTTTTTGTAGCTGTTTTTGACCTTCGTTACAGCAAAAAGCAGCGCATCATGTCCCATGGTCTGGCGCCTGCCATCCTCCAGGGTTTAATGCCCATCGCGACCGAGGAGGAGCCCGAGGATGTGGACGACGATGCCCCCTCTCGCGTAAGTTCAGCTTGAGCTTAGGTCCATTTTTCCCCGCCACTGACCGCCGTTCAGTCTGCCCTTCGCATCATCGATTGTCTCGCGACAAGCCTACCCCCGACTCAGGTCTTCCCACCGCTGCGCGAGCTCATTCAGCAATATTTCAGTTCGCCGGATGCCGCCAACCGCCGTGCCGCGATGCTCGCTCTTGGCGTGTCCGTCGAGGGCTGCTCCGAGTTCATGACGCCCCTCATGCCCCATGTCTGGCCCGTCATTGAGGCCGGTCTCCGCGACCCGGATGCAACTGTGCGCAAGGCGAGCTGTGTTGCGGTCAGCTGTTTGTGTGAGTGGCTCGAGGATCAGTGTGTGTCGAGGCACGCTGTGCTCGTTCCTGTGAGTGTCTCCCCGGAGCAGATCTGGAACTGGTAACTGATGAAGGGCACAGACTATCATGCAACTCATTGAGGACCCCGTCGCACAGCGTGCGGCATGCACGGCCCTCGATGGTCTCCTCGAAATCCTCCAGGATGAGATCCATCAGTACCTGCACCTCATCATGGAGCGTCTCTCCGGTCTTCTCGAGACTGCGCCCATCCCCGTCAAGAGCGTCATCATCGGTGCCATCGGCTCAGCCGCCCATGCCTCCCGCGACCACTTCCTCCCCTACTTCCAGCCCACCATGGACCGCTTCAAGCACTTCCTTGTCCTTACTGGCGAGGGCGAGGAGCAGGAGCTCCGCGGCATCACCATGGACGCGGTTGGCACGTTCGCGGAGGCGGTGGGCAAGGACGTCTTCCGCCCGTACTTTGCGGACATGATGAAGCAGGCCTTTGATGGCATCCAGGTAGGAAGTGCACGCCTTCGCGAGTGCAGCTTCCTGTTCTTCGGCGTGATGGCCCGGGTATTTGAGGACGAGTTTGCGCCGTACCTGCCGAGCGTCGTCCCCGCGCTGATTGCCAGCTGCGAGCAGCCCGAACATGGCGAGGAGGCGTTCACGAGTGAGTACTTCCGTTGCTTCCCAAACTGAGCGATGGCGCTGACATGTGCACATTTCAGTCTCAAATGCCGAGATTGCCGCGAGCTTCGCCACCGGTACCTCGCCGGCTAACGCCATTACGGTCACGGACGATATGAATGGCAACGCGGAGATTGACATCGAGGATATCGATGTCGACAAGATGCTCGACGTTAACAGCACGATCTGTATTGAGAAGGAGATCGCTGCGGACACCGTTGGCACGCTCTTCGCTGCAACGCGTAGCCATTTCCTCCCGTACGTCGAGCAGTGCACCATCAAGTTGGTCGGACTCCTCCCCCACTACTACGATGGCATCCGCAAGTCGGCGATCGACTCGCTCTTGGAGATCATCAACACGTTCTACGAGCTCAGCAACCCGCAGGAGTGGAAGGCTGGCCTGCCCCCACAAGTACCCGTGGATCAGCAGGTGAAGGAGCTCATCAACCACGTCGTTGCGCCACTGTTGGAGATGTACGAGTCTGAGGACAATAAGTGAGTCTTTCTCTTTTATAAATATGTGATGAGATACAGAAGTTTGTCCAACTGCTGTTTGACACTGCACGGTGTATGAAACTACGCTTCCATTTTTCATTTCTGACTTGTTTCAACCCTGGGCTCGAATCGCGTATTGATATGCATTGCAGGAAAGTCGTTGCGAGCATGTGCGTCGGTCTCGCGGAGACGATCCAGAAGGTCGGGCCCGTCTTCCTTGAAGGACGTTAGTACATTCCTTCGTGCTTGACCTTGTGCAATGCTGACTACATCCTTAGGCTTCGACATGATTGGCAACATCGCGCTGCAGATCCTCGGTCAGAAGTCGATCTGCCAGCAGGACCCCGATCAGGACGAGAGTGAAGAGGCTCCCGAGGACCAGGCTGAGTACGACTCGATGCTCATCTCCGCGGCTGGCGACCTCGTTACTGCGCTGGCGAACGTATTGGGCCCAAGCTTTGATGGCGCGTTCCGGATGTTCTTCCCGCTCATCTCGAAGTACTACGTGAGTGCATTTGAGGTGAGGACTAGGACGATGCTGATACATCTGGAACTGGCAGAAATCGAACCGCTCGCTCAGTGACCGTTCGTCTGCTATTGGGTGCCTGTCAGAGGTCATCGGCGGCATGAAGAGCGCGATCACTCCCTTCACCGAGCCCCTTCTACAACTCTTCTACAGCGCTCTGAGCGATGATGAACCCGAAGTGCAATGCAATGCTGCCTTTGCATCTGGTCTCCTCGTTGAACACTCGGAGGTTGACCTTTCCTCGCAATACCTCAACCTCCTTGCCTCATTCCGCCCGCTCTTCGTCGTCGCCGATGATGCACCACAAGCCAAGTTCAACGCGCGCGACAATGCTGTAGGCGCAGTCGCGCGGATGATCCTGAAGAACACAGCTGCTGTCCCGCTTGACCAGGTCCTCCCTGTGTTCATGGGCGCGCTTCCGCTCAAACACGACTTCCAGGAAAATGTTCCCGTGTTCCGCGCGATCTTCCATCTCTTCCGCACGAACACCGCTGTTCTTGGCCCGTACATGGAGAAGCTCCTCCAGGTGTTCGCGTTCGTGCTCGATCCCAGCGCGCCCGATATGCTCACCGATGAGATTCGCGCGGAGCTCATCAGTCTGATTGGTCTGCTGAATAGAGAGAACCCCGGCATGGTGCAGGCGGCGGGCCTCGCGCCGTTCGTGCCCGGATCATAGAGGGCGGAGGAGGATGAAGGTCTGGTTTGATTAGTCTGTTACGCCATTGTACGCCGTTTGTTTTCTCGAACCACTTCCAGTTCAGGGCTTGCTCTCAACATATCATGATTGTCGGATTTCATGCCATCGTAGTTCTCGCTGTTCTGTCA